TGCTGTATCAAAAAAAAAAAGAATCAATGAAATAACTGACTTCTTCACACTAGCTAAGACAGAGTTAGAAACATCCTGTCAAGCACCCATGCTTCTCCTCTGCCCAGGGCTCTTTACTTTCTTCTGCACCTGTCTTCTGGAAACTAGATTGAAGTTAAGAAATCATCAGGCAGAATAAAAAGTTAATATTGAAAAAGACAATGTGCTTACTATAATAGTTGTTAATGAGAACAAGGAACCAAAAAACTATCTTTGAGAACTTGATATTTCTGAGTATCAAAATTTTAATAATAATCAGTTATTTGCAGACAACTTCACCAGATGTAAATGGCATGTCAGACACTTCTGATACATAGACAACCTGAGTTTCAACATGATTCAAACTAGTTATAACTGAATTTTGGGGAAAATATTTAAGCTATAAAATAGTACTGACTAATAAGGTAAACATGCATGTATTTACCACCAGGAACTAATAAATAGGATCATTCTGACATATGTACATATGAGAGTTTTTAGTAAAATATTTAGAACACTGTAAATAAAGTGTTAGTACCTTCCAACTACCCCCTCTTCAGCCAGTACTACTCCTGCCCCGTTTTCGCAGGGATAATCACTAGCATGATTTCATGTATAACTCTCTGGCCTATATTTTTATACTTTTCCCACAGGCATGGGTACCTCAAAGTTGTTTTTTTTTTTTTATAGAACACACACTGCACTGAATTGATAAATATTAACAAGTAAAGATATGGAGGCATGTGAATTTAAAGCAGAAAATCTAATTGGTATTCAATAAAATTAAGAACCACATAAACTATATTATCTCCAATTGTCATATAATACAAGAAGAAAGAATGATCTCTCACTTATCCCCACTAGGATTACATACTTTTAATAAGACAGATTCATACTTTCTAGCATGAGTTTTACTAGTACACATATACAAAGTCTTCAGCTATAAATTTCAGTTACTTTAAGCCATAAAAGATGTTCAGACTCCAGCATCTGATGGAACTCCTGCAGAGATATCAAGATTTAAGGTGAGATATCTGAGAAATCTGCATGGCTTTTTTTGAGCATATGAAACATTCAGCAACTATCTAAGCACTTTAATCACGTAAGTTTCATAAATGTTAAAGTAAAATTTTAAAATCTCATTATAATAAAAAATAGAAGTTAGATTATTTTCATTGTTGATAAAAATCTGGTATTGTCTTCCACTGCTACTTGACAACACAAGGTCAAATACGACTCCCATAGCTAACTGACAAAGCACCTAACTAACCCCTCATGCCACAACGCAAAAGGCAGCTGTGGTGGCAGAAGTCCATCCTTACCGAGAGTCATCAATCTATCATCAGCCAACACCACTACACTGCAGACACAGGATTGATGGAGGGAGAAACAGATAAGAATGGAGTGGCTGCTCACTGTTCATAATAGCCTAGACTTGGAACCAACCCAAATGCCCATCAATGATAGACTGGACAAAGAAAATGTGGCACATATATACCATGGAATACTATGCAGCCATAAAAAAGGATACATTCATGTCCTTTGCAGGGACATGGATGAAGCTGGAAACCATCATTTTCACCAGCACAGAAGAGAAAACCAAACACCGCATGTTCTCACTCATAAGTGAGAGCTGAACAATGAGAACACATGGACACAGGGAGCGGAACATCATATACTGGGGCCTGTAGTGGGGTGGGGGGCTAGGGGAGGGAGAGCATTAGGAAACATACCTAATGTAGATGACGGGTTGATGGGTGCAGCAAATTACCATGGCACATGTATACCTATGTAACAAACTTGCACTTTCTGCACATGTACCACAGAACTTCAAGTATTTAAAAAAAAAAAAAAAAATGTAGTAGCCACTGAAGTTGGCAAGAGGCTCACACCACATAATCAGAACCTACAGTAGAATGCACGGAGGGCCATGAAAATCCTGAGAGCCCCTTAATACAACTGACTCAAAAAGAAAAGTACAAAGCAGCAAGTGTCAATTATACACTCTTCTTTTGTCATTAACAATGTATTTTATACTATAATTAAAAATTAATTTTATAAAAGAATGGCAAATAGTAATATCATTGGCATTAATGAAAACTGACCAGGTCTCTGAAAATATTTTCCTCAATTGAAGTTTACCTATTAGTTCTTTGCATATTAATAAAAACATATTGAGTGGTCACATAAGAAAAAAAATATTCAGGGCCATGAAAAAAACATTCAACCCAATAATCTAAGAAATATAATTTAAACAATGAGATGCTTTTTTAGACTATGTAGTTGTTTTCTTTTAAATGATAATGTCTATGGTTAGCTAGGTTGTAGGGAAAGGAGTACTCCTACACTTTTCTAATAGAAACGTGTAAATTTGAATAACCTGTCTGGATGTCAGCAGGTAATAAGTATCAAGAAGAGCTTATACCTTTGCCCTAGTAATTACACTTCCAAAAATTTCTCCTAATAAAGTCATGTAGAATACACACAGAAATTTATATACAAGAATATTTACTGTAATAGAGGGAAAATAAAAACAACTCAAATTTCAAAATACAAGAATGGTTAAACTATGGTACATTTATACAAAGAACACAGACATTAAAAACCCCGTTTCTGACGAGCCCTTCATGACAAAGCTTGGGTTGAAAGTATGAATTCCAATTTCATAATAAATGTTATATGTTATCTGGATGTGTATATAAATTACCAGTTCTAAGGTTTGAATGTCCTCTTCAAAATTCATGTTGAAATTTAATCCCCAGTGAGGCAGTATTGAGAGGTGGGACCTTTAAAAGGTGATTGGGTCAGGAAAGCTCCTCCCTTATGAACGAATTAATCTATTCATGGAGTAATGGATTCGTGGGCACTGGTGGTTTTGTAAGGAGAGAGACCAAATATGTATGCTTGGCGCCCTCACCAGGTGAAACCCCATGCTGCCTCAGGACTGCAGAGAGTCCCCACCAGTAAGAAGGTTCTCACCAGATGCAGCCCCTCAACACTGGACTTCTCAGCCTCCAAAACTGAAAGAAATAAAGTCCTTTTCTTTAAAAATTACCCAGTTTCAGGTATTATAAGCAACAGAAAATAAGTGAAGACAACCAATGTATAAATTTAGAGGTATGGGAAAGGGTAAAGAGGGAGCGGGAAAAATAGAACAAAAATATATTTACTATCCAGAGTTTATAGCTGATTTGTGTTTTCAAAAACATTCCTGCATTTCATGAA